ATTCCATACTATGGGTCATGCAGGATTTATATCATCAACCGTAGTACTCAATGACTTTAGGCAATGTTGGGCCAGAAGCACTCCCCGAAACCTAAACCCCAAGCTCTACACCTGAGAACCTCTCAGCCTTAAACCCTAAACCCTAAACCTTAAAACCCTAAACCTTTTAAAGCCTAAACCCTAAACCTTAAAACCCCTAACCTTGAAGACCCCAAACCCTAAACCTTAAAAGCCCTAAGCCTGAAAGCCCTAAACCTTTTGAAGCCTAAACCCTAAACCTTAAGACCCCGAACCTTAAACACCTTAAACCCTAAACATTAAAACCCTAAACCTAAAACCCTTAAGCCCTAAACTATGAAAACCTTAAGGCTTAAAACCCTAAACCCTAAACCTTAAAACCTTAAAAACCCTAAACCCCAAGCCTTGACACCCCTCTCCTAAAAAAGCCTCGAAGCCCTAAGCCTGAAACCCCCAAACCTAAAAACACCCTAAACCCTAAAACCTTAAAAGCCCTAAACCCAAAATCTTAAAAACCCCTAAACCCTAAACCCTAAGCCCTACCCGAAACCCTGGCCCAGTCCCTACTGTGCCTCTTCTCGCAGGGAAGGCCGGTGGTCGTGGTGGGGCCCTCCTTTGGGGAGCCTAGGCCGGCGTAGGGTTTAGGGTTTAGGGTTTAGGGTTCAGGGGTTTGGGGAGGTTCCCACAGCTGTCCTTTGGGTTTTTTCCGTTCTTTTCGGGTTTAGGGTTTAGGGGTTTTCAGGCGTTCGGGGTTTAGGGTTTAGGGTCGGCGTTTGGGGTCTTGTAGCTGCGGAGGGTTGCTGTCGGGTTTTTGGATTTTTCATAGGGGTCCTCTCAGGGCTCCTTCGGGTTTAGGGCCTCGGGTCTCGTCTGGTCCAGGGTACTGGGCTGCGGGGTTTCGGTTCGGGGTTGTGGGCTTTGGGATGCTCTGAAAGGGTTTAGGGTTTAGGCTTGCACATGGGGTGGGGTTGTAGCGCCGGCTTTCGTTGTTGGTAGTATCCATGATTGTTGGAAGCAGCCGCGAGGTATGGAACGCGAGCATTCTTTGATACCGCTAGTTGCGATTCGTGTTGTGGCAAGATTTATTATTGCTCTTCTGAAAATGACGGTTACTGTCTCATCGTTACGGGTGTTGGTCAGCTGCAGCATGAACAGGGCCTGCAACGCATAAGTCATCATTGCCAAACATTAGGCCCTCGCTGGAACAAAGTGGCTTGAAAAGAAAGCAGTGCATTCGCATTAGTTGAATTGGTGCCCTAAACCCTAAACCTTAAACAAACTGGCCACTGCTACTTTTCCTGGACTTTGTCTTCGTCGTCTCTGCTGCTGCCGTTGCTTCTTCTTCTGGTCATGGCAATCATCGTCTTCCATTTTCATACAAGCCTAAACCCCAAACCCTGAACCCTTGATCCTGAACCCTAAACCCCAAATCCGTCCACACCTTCAGTTTGATTTTTAACCTTGGTCGCATGAGGGTTTAGGGCTTAGGGTTTAGGGGCTTTGGGTTTAGGGTTTAGGGGGTAGGGTTTAGGGTTTAGGGCCCAGGGTTTAGGGTTGTGCCCCTACGTAGATGAAGATGCTCTCGCTGTCAGGACATGCGAGATAAGGAAACCAGCTTGAGAGAAATATCCGATTTCGTGGTTAAGGTTGTGGAGGACGATTCGTCGCGAGCGTCAAAGACTGGCCATCCCTCCAGAAGTCAAGCATTTCTGTCAACATCTTTCGCACTTCTGTTGCTTACGGAACTAGAGCAGCAACAACAACAGTAACCATGACAGCAACAACAGCAACAACATCAACAACAGCAACAACAACAGCAGCAGCAGCAGCAACAACAACGACAACAACAACAACTCCTGCTGCTACTACTGCTACTGCTGCTGCTGCTGCTGCTGCTGCTGCTGCTGCTACTGCTACTCTACTACTGCTACTAGCAACATGAGCAATCCACTATCACGGATGGGCGCGGCCCGCCTCCTACCGCTTCTGCTGCTGGGAGCAGTTGGTGTGGATCACTCCAAGTTCCGCATCAGGACCAAACTTACCCCGAAGGGGTTGGGGGGTTGTCTTTCAGGGATCCTTGACCAATGTCTCTCAGGGGCCTTCAATGATTTTATGAGGGTCCAGGGGTTTAGGAGCACATGAACCCTGAGAGGTTAGAGGCTTTGGGTCTGAGCTTTCAGTACCTGACTACAGGGTTCGTTGGTTGAAAAGGGATCAGGATTCCCCCCCCCCACTTGATGGCTGTCGGTTACTTGCGTGTGCGGGTTTACAACCCTTCTGAAACCATAAGGGGCCTTCAGAGTGACCCCCCATAAATCCTTCGTAAAGTCTTCATAGCCCCGAAACCCAAAACACCTAAGCCATGCTAAACCGAAGCCCCCAAACCCAAGCAGCCTTCATGGTGCCCCAAGGTACCTGTTCCCAGGGCTCTTTCTGCCAGCGCTACAGGGCCTACATAAAAGAGGTCCAAGGCACAGGGGCTCAGCTCCACTTCGTCGAGCCCGGTTCCCTGTCTCCTGGCCTCTGATTAAGAAGGTTTAGGGCTTGAGGGTTTAGGGTTTAGGGGTTTAGGGGCTTAGGGTTCAGTCTGTAGGTCTCTGATTAAGAAGGTTTTGCATTGGTTTTGAGCTGAGTTTAAGTGGCAGAGGGATATGTGAACAAAGATAGGTCAGCAGCCAGATGGATGTAGAATGATTTAGATATGGTGCTTTCCTCCTTCTGGTAGGCTTTGATCCCCTTTTTTCAAACATGGTCGGCCAGGCTTCAGAGGAGCGGGCACGAGGTGCAGTTCCGAATCTCCCACCGCCAGGGCGGGGGGATCCTGGAGCCCCTGGAGCTCTCCCTGGTCTTCTTCCGGGCTGCCAAAAGCGGGGAGCCCGAAACTCCGGGGGCCTGTGGGGTGCTCCGGATCTCCATCTTGGCACCCGGAGAGCGGCGCTTTCGGCCTCGGGAGGGCGATGTGGCCATGGTCCCGGAGAGCGGCTTGGAGCCGGACCTCCTTGCGGTGCAGTCGGAAGAGGCACCCTAAACCCTAAACCCTAAACCCTAAACCCCTAAACCCCTAAACCCCTAAACCCCTAAACCCCTAAACCCCTAAACCCCTAAACCCCAAGGCCATGGCCCTGATGACCGCCGGGGACTGCTCCGCGAGGCTCCGATACGATCCCCTGGAGCTGGACTTGCTGCGCTCGGGTCGGATCTTGCAGACTCTCAACGCCCGACACCAGGTGGCACTTTGGGAAACTTTTTTAATTTCCCTTTCAAGGCTTAAGGACCGCAATCCTGCAACCCAGGACACTTTCTAAACTTCGAGCAGCGGCGCAGCCGGGAGACCGGTGCGACCGGTGCCCGACCCTTCCTCGATGCCACGGACATCACTGCTGGGTCGCTGTGGGAGGAGACCTTCGATGCCACCTTGGCTGCAGTTTGCTGAGGACTCTTATTGTTACTATTGTCATCATTATCTTCTTCTCTTTACTACAGTTGTTATGATTAATATTCTTCTTCTTCTTTATTATCATTTGTCATCCTTTATCTTGTTGTTATTGTTCGTATTGTCCTTCTTCTTATTTTATTACTACTGCTTTGATTAATTGAAATTACTAGTATTGTGTTTAGTACTAGTATTCGAACTAGTATTTGCATTCGTATTAGTATTAGTCTTAGTATCAGTATTCATAGTAGTTTTGGTACTGGAATTAGTATTCGTATTCGTGTTCGTAGCAGTGTTGGTATCAGTATTCGTAGTAGCATTAGTGTCAGTGTTTGTGTTAGCGTTAGTACTAGGTTTAGAGTACTTTTAGAGTAGATTTAGCTAGCGCATGGATTACTGTCGTGCGTTTCTGCTGTTTTTGTGGTTTGCTCTTCCGGTCTTTGGGGGGGGGGTTGGGGGGGGTTGATAACGTCCAGTTTGCATACATCGCACGGTACAGCTTACGAATTCCTCGGTATTTACCGGCTCTGGCCGTTTTAAGCTTGAAGGTAGTGGTTTTTCACGGGGGCGGAATTTTATGTGGTTCCCCCTAAGACCCTCCACACAACAGTGACTGCATAGTCTTCCAGCCCGAAAGTAAGCCACAATACATACAATTCCGC